ATCAAGAGCCAGAGCACAGCCACCTCCTCCCTGCCTGCCCGGGATGCTGCCTTCCAGCCTGTTGGGCTCCTTTTCAAGGCAGAAGGCCAGAGCAGGAGAGAGAGAGCTGCGAGAGGATCTCCAGGGTGCAGATTAGAGGGAGGAGGCTGCAGCATTCAGCTGAGCAAGGATTACATTGGAATTTCCCAGGGGCTTAACAGCTGCAGAACCGGACAGAGGACGGGGCCTGGTGTCCTCTGGTGCTGACCCCACCCACACGGACCCTGCAGGGAACAGGTGGGAGAATCAGCCCAGCACCCACTCGAGACACCAAACCACTGACCCCTGTGCCCTGAGGACGCTCCCTCTGCCCTGGACTGCAGCTGGCCTTGGCTCCTGGATGCACTCAGCTCTGCTGAGTGCCCTCCCCTCTCTTCCCCTCTGCGCCTTTGTGCTCCTGACCTTTGCATGAGTGGAGGCAGGGAAGCATGAGGGTTTGAACCTGGGAGAGAAGCTTCAGGAACATCCAGGGATACAAGTTATTTTACTTTTGTTGTCGATTCTGATCGTTCACTCTCAGCTTCTGCCACCCCTTCATCTCTGCTTTCCTGTTACAGGGGAACATGCTTAGGCGGTGTGGAGCTCAGAGGGTCAAGGGGGAGTGGGTGAAACAGAAGCATGCTGTATTTGTCTAGGTTTTAAAAACATTTTCCTTTCTTTGTTTAGATTTTATTGTATCTAAAAATTAAGTATGGCTATTAATGTAATAGTGAGAAAATCAATTGAAGTTCATGTAAGACAAAGCGTAATTACCCCCCACCTACCATCCTCCATTTCTGCTTCCTACAGAAACCAATATTTATTACCTCATCAATCTCTGTCATACTGTTCTCAAAATTCACTTTATGGATTGAGGTATATAAGCCCTTTTAAGCAAGCTAGATTTGCTTATGGGACTTCCATATTTAGTATTTAATTTGAGCTGTGTTAATTTTTAAATCCTTTACAGATTTACAAATTTATCTTTATCCACTCCATTTTCACAGAGAACTGACTACATAAGATTCATCAGTTTCTAAAAGCCAGAGCAAAACCCAGATGCCTAATTCTGTGTTTGTTTTGTGAACCAAAGGAATGTACAAGGCTCATGGGTGTCCTGTCTCCAGGGCATTAGAAGTCGAAACTGACATATGCACAAAAGGAGCAGAGAAACATTTGAAATCACGGAATGCAATGTCTATCATGTGCCAATTCCTCTAATCAGTTTCCCATTCGTGCAGTCATTTTACATCCATATTTCTGCTGCTTTGGGCATTTTATATTTTTAAAACATTATGTGCATGGGAGATGTGAGAGTTTTCCCCCACTGAGATCTGTCTTCAGTACTGTCTCATGCTGGAGGTTTTTTCAACACCGGACAGCTCCTCTCCCCAGGTGAACAGATAGAGGAATCTCAAGCAGCCTCTGAGGATGAGGAGAAGGAGCCTTGTGGGAGCCTCTTCCCATGCTCGCTGTGTCCGGGATGCTCTTGAGGATGAGTGTCAAAGATGGTCTGCCCCTGCAGGCATCTTTGGAGGTCAGGTCTAAGCACTGCTTGTTTAGGATTCCAGGCAGGTGGAGCAGTCATGTTCCTATCACTCATTATTCTACCTTCGACACTGCTTCAAGAGAATCTGCAGTGGTATGAATTAGTTAAGAGCAATTGATTCCATATCTTAAAGTTTCTTTTTTCCCTATTTTCATTCTTCCAGTGGAGATGCATTCAGATTTGTTTAAATAGTAAAAAATAAAAGAGTCGAATGTATCTTGTTTAACTTCTTAGTCTGACTCTGCAACATTTTTCCCCTGAAAAACTGTCTGTTTAATGTTCAGTGCTCTGTATCTGAATCTGAGAGGTTCTCATCAAACATTAAAACCCACTTCTGGTTACCTTAAGATTGCAACCATTTGTTTTAAATGAATACCTTTGTTCTTTGTAAAACTTCTAACAATTATTCCTAACAGTCTTCATGCAATGTCTCCATTTTCTTTTCCTCTGCTTCCTCTTGATGACAAACTGGATGGCTTCCCATATTTTATAATTGCCTGTGCTTTTCTCTGGGTCTTTTGGAGAGTAGCTTCACGTTGTCACTGAGATGCGTGCTAAGGCTATGCAGGTCGGTGTATTGTGGTCACGAGACACCGTATGATTTCTATTATGGGTCATTAAAGCAACACCATTGCCATCCCTTATTTGCCAGAATGTTCTATGTTGCACGACTGATATTATTTGTACTGCATATTTTACATGTTTTTTTTTTTACTATCTTTCAAATAAAAAGTTGTGTTAACCTCTTACCAAAATATTTATAATTCCTTTTGAGACAGGGTCTTCCCATGTTGCCGTGTTACCCAGGCTCACTTCAGACTTTAATTCTCCTGCCTCAGCCTCCCAGGATGCAGAGATCACAGGTGTGCAGCACCACAGGTATCTTGAAGGCTTGATTTTCTTACACATCCAGCATTACCAGAAAAAAATTAGGTGAGTAGGAAGAAGTGATGACTTTCTTGTAGATTAGAGGTGAATGTAGCCTCAAGCTCGATTTTAGTTTCTGTTTCATTGAGAAATTTGTAGGTCTCCATATCACGCTTGTCCCACAGGGTCACATGGTTGTAACTTGCAACTCCCCTACCAACTGATGGTTTTGGTTTCTGCCCTCTCTTGAGCAATGTGGGCAACATGCCTACCGGAGAGAAATAAATGGATTCCACTCTCCCTTTTGAGCAACACACACAGGCTCTCAGGGCTCAGCTGCAGGGAGAGACAGAGCACAGCCACTGCCCAGGTCAGCAGGCAGAGGAGGGGCTGCCTGTGAGTCTTGGCTGTGACCCTGGAGGCAGTGATATCCCTGTTCCTAGACTCCTGGGCACAGTGCTGTGCCTCCTGCAGGCCTGGAAACTTTCCTAAGCAGGGAGCTAGCTGTTCCCAGGAATCATTCTCAGGGTGTAAAGGTACTACTTTAGTCATATACTAAGAAGTTGATATCTACACTTTTAAAGGGAATTGTAAGTAATGAGGTCATTGAAAGGATAATGCATTTGCAAGATTTCAAGTATAAAATTCAAGAGAATGCAGTGGAAGTGAACTCTCCCTGGCCGTGGCTCCCAGGCCTCCTCCTGTGCTTTCTCACCAAGTTTCCTGGGTTCCTCCAGCAGAGCCCGTCCCTGCACATGCATATGTTTTTCTTCAGTTAACAAATGGGAGCTTCCTGTACACCCCGGAAATGATTTTCCCTCAGTTCACAAGCAGTTCAGAACCCTCCTCATGAAGGATGCCCTGTACTTTCTTGACATCTGTCTGCGTGGATGGACAGTTAGCTTGCAGCCTGTTCCCTTATAACCAATTCACATGAGTACTCTTGATCACACATCCGTGCGAACTGGTACATTTTGTGGTCCCTGAATGGTTTCTTAGAGCTGGAGCTCCCACATAGGGATTGGCAGTCATTCTACACACACCAGCGTCCCACAGAGAACTCATAAACCCAGTGTAGAGATGGGGGCCCCACGGCCAATACTTTCTCCCAAACAGTGTGTTCTCAATTTCGAGGGAAAAAAAGTTGTCATAGTCAATTTGGGCTGCAGTAGCTACGTGCCATAGACGGGTGGGCTGTAAACCATAGATGTGTGTTCCTGTCGACTCTGGAGGTGGGGCTGGGGTCAGGGTGCCAGAGCATTTGGGTTTGGGTGCAGGTGCTCTTTCCAGCTGTAATTATCTTCTTTTCCTTACAGCTTCACAAAGTAGAAAGAGGGTTAGGAAGCCCTTTTGGATCTCTTTTATAAAAGCACTAATTTCATTTATGAGGGATCAGCCTTCAGCACCTAATTACTTCCCAAAGCCGATATCTCCTAATACCATCAAGGGTGAGGATTTCTGCATAGGAATTAGGGGCAGGGGCATCGAGATCGTACATAACAATTGCATGCCACAGTTTTGTTTCTGTTTTTGTGCTTGTGCTTGCGTTACTGGGGACTGAACCCAGGACCTTCACATTAAGCAAAAACCCCAACTCTTATTTAGAGACCGGCTGTCCCTAATTTGCCAAGTCAGGCTGGGCTCAAGCTTTCAATCCTCCGACCTCAGCCCCTCGGAGCCCTGGGATTATAGACATGCGCCACCATTCCCACTCTCCACAGTTGTTTTCATCTGTCTTCCTTCAAATGTGAGCAAACAAGAAGCTCCTTTTCATGTGTACAAGCCATGCGCTTATTCTCCTGTGAGCCATGGGAAAGAACGAGCCCCTGGGGGAGAGAACCTTTGTCCAGAGAGTGTCTGCCGGACTGCACAGGTCTTTCCTCATTTATCTTTCACAGTCTTTTCGCCTGTGTGCGTTTATATCTGGTCCCCTCCCTTCCCTCACCTCCTCCCCCACGGCCATCTTCCTGTGTCCCTCTCGCTCCACTGCCTCTCTGCAAGTCCAGAGTGTCCAGGGCAGCGTGGGGGGCGCGGGGAGAATCCGCGCGTCAATGAGGACAGAGCAGCCGCTTGTCCCTTGACTCGAATTTGAGGAATTTTCTGACTTCCACACAGGTGGCTGCTGGAGGAAGGAAGGAGAGTAGATGAACAGGGAGAGCTGGAGTCTCTTCTCCCAGCAGACAGGGGTAAGAAGGACCCAGAGCTACCTGGGCTCCCCGTGAGAAGGGGGCCAGGAGAGAGCACATCAGAGTCATGGTCGCACAGGGAGTGGGGGGTGGCCTGGCACGGGGTCCTGCAGGACTGGAATTTGCACAGCAGCTCAGGAGAGACCCTGTGTGCCTGCTGCTCCCGCCCGTGGTCGGTGCCTGGGCAGATTGAGCGCTGTGAGAGGGGACACAGCCGGGTGCCTGGGCTGCACATGAAAACTTTCCTCCTCCCTGCTCTCTGGCCCTGCGTGTCTCCCCAGGAAGCAAGCGTGGCTGAAGTCTCCCAGTCTTGTGAAAGCCACAGCCCCACCTGGGAGCTGGGTGGTGGCCGGGGCAATGGTAGCGGCCCTGAAGATGCCCCATGGCTACTGAGGGTGCTGCCAGGCAGAAGATCAGAGTGGCGGGCATGGTGTGCAGCCTGTGGGTCCTGATCCTAGGGCCCTCGGTGCTGGCTCTGGAAGGTAAGAAGGAGGCAGGCAGGAGACCCCCAGTGCCAATGGAGTCCAGGGTGTGGGGAGGGGGAGGGCTCCAAAAAGCAGAAAAGGGTGAACGCTTTGAGGAGGGACAGGTGTGGGGATCATGAGGGACCTGCATCAGGTATTTCAGAGACAGGCTCCTGGCAGCGGTGCTGCTCCTGCTGGCAAATGAAATGGAGCAGGGAGGGACATTCTTTGGGTCCCCTTGGGGATGGAGTGGCTGCTGCTGGCACTGTGTGTCCCTTTCTGTCTGGGCAGAGATGCTGCTGGACACCACAGGAGAGACCTCTGAGACTGGCTGGCTCACCTACCCTCCAGGTGGGGTAAGTCTGAGGTAGGATAGAAAGATGAAGACAGCTAAAAATAAGGAAAGTTACAATTTTTAAATTACATTTTTAATAAAAAGGTCTGTTTTGAATTACAAGCTCAGTAAACAATTCCTGAGGTTCTTAAAGACACACTATATGCTTCGCTCTTTCACTTTCCTTGTGAATTGACTTTGGCCATTCCTTTTCACTGAAAGTGGGTCTCGGGTATTCTTTTTCTCTTACACAATGGGCTTTCCCATCTCTGGCAGTGGACAGCACCTGCTGCTGGGCCATCATGCTTTTCCTCTACAGAAGAGACCACAATGTTTCTATAGGTTGCAGTTTCTATCCTAAAGTCCCCATAAGTATACACAGCCCCTGTCTATCATATGATGCTCCACTCTCTCTTGAATGTTCATATCTATTTGTTCACATGTGTACTTTTAAAATTCTGCTAATAAATCCCTTTCTGCCTCCTGCTGACCAGTTGTATAATGCTTTTCTTCCTTCTGAGGGGAATCTGCCCTTATTCTGTGGATAGGGCAGATTTAGGTTCTTCATCTCTGCTTTAGGAACTGCCTAGGACCCTGTCCAGAGATACATGTAACATAGGTAGTACCAGTTGGATTAGGTGTCCAGGCGCCTCTTCTCCCCTGAACCTGGAGGGCGTTTAGGGCCACCCCACCCCACAACCTGTGTCCTAAAGCCCAATACCCAGAGGTAGAGGTGAGTCATGTGTACCAGATCCTTCCCCAAGACCTGTAATAACCTTTCTTCACTCAGAGCTCATTAAACATTTATGCATATGGACTGCATCTCACAATGCAATTATAACAGAGTGCATTATGGGAAAGGACATATGCAGTAGACACAGCTGATGTGACTCAGTGTCCTGTCAATCACACTGTCAGTTACACTCTACACGACCCAATGGGAGGCGCTCTAGACCTGATGCAACATTTTAAATCGGTAAACCTAAGGCGCGTTCAGTGTTTGTGCCATTTTTCTTTCTGTCGGCATGAGCCCACTTATTAAACTTCAGTGCTTTTTTCTTACCTCCACGTGCCACATCTGATTCTTTGTTCATTGTGTAGAAGAACCTAGAAACCTGCCCTGAGCCCCATTCCTTATGGCCACACCTCCATGGTCCCTGGAGTGTAGCAATCAGGCAAGAAACCCTGGGTGCCGAGGTGGGCTCAGACGCCTTCTCTCTGAAGGCACTGAGTCTCAGGATCTCCTCTCCCTTCATAGCCTGTCAGTAATTTTATTGTCAGTACAGTAGACAGGGCCCCTCCACTGTCAACCCGACCCCCCTACATGGCCCAGGGCAGCTAACCTTCTCTCACCCTGCAGTGGGACAAGGTGAGTGTTCTGGATTACCAGCGTCCCCTGACGCGGACCTTCGAGGCGTGCCACGTGGCAGGGGCCCCCGCAGGTGCCGTGCAGGACAACTGGCTGCAGACGCACTTTGTGGAGCGGAGAGGGGCCCAGAGGGCCCACATCAGACTCCACTTCTCCGTGCGGGCCTGTGCCAGCCTGGGCGTGAGCGGGGGCACCTGCTGGGAGACATTCCTCTCTATTACCACCAGGCTGAGGAGCCCGACAGCCCTGGCAACAGCCCTGCGTGGCACCTCAAGTGCTGGACCAAAGTGGACACTATCGCAGCAGATGGGAGCTTCCCAGCCTCCTCCTCTTTATCTTCCTTCCACGTGGACTGTAGGACCCCAGAGGATGGGGCAGCAGGCCAGGCTGCAGCGCAGCTTTGGCCCTCTGACCCAGCACAGCTTCTACGTGGCCTTCCAAGACATGGGGGCCTGCCTGGCCCTGGGGGCCATGAAGCTCTTCTCCTACACCTGTGGCCCTGTGCTTCGGGCTTTTGCCTCCTTTCCTGAGATTCAGGCCAGTGGGGCTGGGGGGTGGGTGCTGTGGGCACCTGTGTGGCTCACGTGGAGCTGGAGGAGGACAGCATGGGGGGCCAGGCCAGGGGCAGCCCCCTCAGGCTGCACTGCAATGGAATGGCACATGAGTGATGGCTGTTCAGAGAAATTGTGGTTCAGGAGCTGCTGGTGCCTCCTATTCACCATCCCCTCTACCAGGCTATGGACCCTGTTGCCCAGCACCTTGCATCCTCACCTTCTCAGGGAGTTGCGTGGCTGATTGGAAACCCCATATACACAAAGTGTGTATTCTACTGCTTCCCTGGGGAAGCCCACAGCACAGACTGAATGACTGACACACAGATACAAAAAAGTATTAGGTTTGTTTCACCAGGAGACCAACTCTAAGGAGCAGTTCTTTCTTCCGATGTTCTGTGGGACAATCCCTCAATCCTTTGAGACCTTATGTCCAGTCTGGTGAGTACGGTCTCCAACTCAGACAACAGCTTTGCTTAGCTTTCTTCCCTTGCCTTACCCTTCTTTGCCTGAGAGCACTTTTAGGGTGGATTATTGCATAAGACTGCCCACCTCAGGCTCTATTTCTAGAAAGTTCAACTCAAGGCAGTTGATGTTAGAAGTGCTGCAGAAAGCGGGAAATCCACAGGTAGATCAAATTCTGAAATCTTATCCAGGAGAAGATAGACCATTTTGATATCCTTTGTGAGGACATCAATATAGAAACGGGCTTACCCTGTTCCTTCCTGGTCCTTAGTCACTGGAGATATTACTCCACCCTAGACTTATTGGATGATGGAGCAGATGTAGTTACTCTGATTTTTCCCTATGATGGATTCGGTTTTGAGGGGTTCATGGTAAATACTAACTCTAAGAAGCATGAAACCTGGTAGACACTGCTAACCATCCCTGCTGGAGAGACTCAGCTCTATTTAGAGCAATATATGGGAGTTGAAGGATGTATTAATGCATTCACTGTTGCTACAACAGAAAGCCTGAGTCTGGGAACTTTATAAAGATAGAAGTTTTATTTAGTTCGTTGCTCCAGAGGTTCAAGAGCATGGTACCAGCATCTGCTTGGCTCTGAGGAGGGCTTCATGGTGGATGGCGTCAAAATGCTAAGAAGAGGAACTCACATGGCAAGATGGAACAAAAGAGAGATCAAAGGCAGCTAAGGGAACTTGCTTCATAACAACCATTCTCATGAGAAGTAATCCACCAATCCCTTTTGAGGATGGTGCCCCATGACCTGATTACCCTTAGTCTTGGTATAAAGACTCATAAATTGATGCAGGTGAGAACCTCAGACACCCAGACTGCTCCGAACTCCCTGAGACACCAAAAACAGCTCCCTCTCCTGGAGCAGCTGTGCCCTGTCTCCTACTTCAAGACTATGCAGGGTCCTCAAATAAGGTAGATGCCTTACAAGATAACGCTTGCCTTCTTCAGAATTGACCTCCATCTGTTCTTCTTCTCCAATTTATAAACAGAGCTAATTCTTATGGGGCAAAGCTGAGACTGCAAGCAGAGTGGAGAGGTCATGCACCCACGCTCAGAGAGCACTATTGGGTGTGCACAGAGGCCATGGATGCTGTGCCCAGCGGGCCCAGAGCATAGTGGTCAAGGGGGGATTGGAAAGCTGGCTATGTGTATCAGTTGGGAGCTGCTCTTCCTCACTCATGTAGAATTTAACACTTTGGCAAGGAGCCTAGAAAATGAGTCTAATATATGCCACTTGCTGACTCATTAAAGTTTGGAAAAAGTAATCGCCTTCATTGAAGTAAGTAGAGATGCTGAAAATTGCCTTGGAAGATTATGAAAGAAGGGATCAAAAGGTTTAGGAAAGTAGAAATGCTTTAATTGGTCCATTACATAACACAGAAAAGCCTACCAGCTGATATGTTGCTTAGAGGACCCAAGTACACTCTGTCTGCCAAGGTGACTTTAACAAGTGAGGCTAAGGGTGATATTGGCTGAGATGTTTTGTGTTAGGAGATGCTGCTGCAGAACTGAGCTCCTTGATAGCAAGAGGATGCAGGTAAGCAGAAGAGCAGAGGCCAAGGGTAATCCTTGGTGTCTGATATGAAGTGTGCACAGGTATCCTTCTAGGTGAAGGTGTCAGGTAGAAGATGTGTGTGTAGCATCACCTTTGGAGATGGCTGATATAGCATGCTGCCCATGGGGCAGAATATATGAGCAATCTACAAGAGTACTGCTTAATACACTTAATCTGAAGACATCAAGAATGGAGCAAAAGAATGCAGTGACACCTTTGGAAAGGTGTGATCCTGTGTCCCATCTCCAGATCTGAGTCATTTCTCAGACCCAGGATCTATCAAATAAAAAGGAACCTCTGAGGCCCTGGAAGTTGGGCTCTGTGAAACCATGACAAATACACCTAGTGGTGACTCCCTGATCTTGCCCCAAAGGCCAATGCCTATCCTTGTGGACAGCATCTCTGGAGAAAGAAGAGTCAGATATGCTGAGGGCTGTAGGATACGGGAATATGTGAGTTCACACTGATGCCCAGAAAATGGAATCCTCATCAATGAATCCCTTAGAAGAGAGCACACACAAGTCAGGTTACTAATGTACACTGACCCAGGGCCATTGTACAATGTACAGGCTCCATGCAACCTGTTTTTCTCTTTTTTCCTCTCTTTTCTTGTTCCTCCTTTCTGTATTTTTTGTGGTACTAGATATTGATCTTATCACACTGGCACTGAGCTACAGCACCAGCCCTTTTATCTTTTATGTGAGACTTGGTTATGCTTAGTCTCGAAACTGTCCAAGCTGAGTTTAAGCTTGGAATCCTCCAGCTTCAGCCTCCCAAAGTACTGGGATTATAGGCCACCACATCCAGCTTCTCTTTTTCTCTCTGCTTCTTCCTCCCCAGTTCCTCTCTCTTTCTCTTTTACATGCACGCTTGTGCACGTGCATTACTCTTTCTGTATCAAGCCTCATGCTAGGCACATAGAATTCAGAAACGGAACCTAAGCTCCCTCATCCTTTGGAAAGCTCAGCCCCTGAGGAACATGGACAGGTCACTGACCAGCACACTGTAAGGCCCCACATTATGAGAACCCCCTCAGAGGAATGCACGGGGAGTGTGACAGCACAGAGGAGGAGCAACCTACTCAGCCAGGTGTCGGGGAAGTCAAGACAACCTCTCAGAATCAGCGATGTTTGACCTCATATTGGATGAGAAATGTCACTGGGCAGAAAATAAGAATTCCCCTGTGTTCCGCTTGCCTTCAACTGGGGCTTGGCTTCTGTCAGGTTAATCTCTTGGTGTGCATTTCTAGTCAGGTTAAGCAAACACTTGATAGAAGGTCCAGGTGGTATTAAACCAACCATGTGAAGCTTTCATAGAGGTAGGAACTTCACCCTCAGAGATTCTGAGTGCAAACAATAACTTGGCTTCTGCCAGATATTTCATTTTTAGCTTATGGGCAAGCTTCCTCCCGGAGGCCCCAGAGCTCTCTAAAATTTCAACAGAAAATTACTCTGGTTCAATGAACTGCACATACAGAACAGTGGATTTCCCAGTGTCCAGACTCTCTGCCGTGAATTTCACCTGGCCCTTGAAAGAGAGGGAGAGGGGGCTAGGGATTTAGCTCAGCGGCACAGTGCCTGCCTGGCAAGCAAGAGGTCATGAGTTCGATTCCCGGTACTGGGGGAAAAAAAAAGAAAAAGAAAAAGAAAGAGAGGGACAGGAAAAACATAAAATGTGCAGCCAGCTGAGGCTATAGCCCTGCTCTGCTGGTTCTGAGTCCTGTAACCTGAGCCCAACTTCTCTGAATCTTCTAGGTCCTTTTCTTAACAGTTGGAGGAAATTAACACAAAATTTAAAGAAACAGCTACATATTGGGCCTCAATAAGTTTCAGAAGTAGAATGACCATTGAAGAACAGCGACACTTTCTTGTACATGAACCCTTGCCTGAGTTCACATGGTTAGTCAGGGCCACATAGGGATTACACTTGGGTCTACTGTGTGGCAGAAGAGAGGTGGCCTGGGCAGAAAAAGGGGTGAGGGAGATAACACACATATATTTCACAGTCAAGTTTATGGTCGTGAATGCTGCACATTGGTTTGACCACTCAGAGAACCAGTAGAAATGAGGAAAGAATTCATCATCAAACCCTGGAAAGAACTCTGCAGAG